CGCCACACCCCGCCCCGCGCCCTTCCCCGAGTCCCGAGTAGGCCTAAACCATACCACCACCTCGTGCCTGTGTCCGTGTCATCATGACCATGGCCTGGGCGGCCTGGGCTTCTAAAGATCTAGTATGTGCTGAATGTGCACTCTCAATCATTATTGGATCAAACCCTTCCTCCACTTTAAAAACACAGACATACCCGTCGCCGCTCCGACTGCAAACAAAAGGGGGGGGGGAGTAAAACACGCTTATGGGAAAGAGGGAAGGCAGGTCGGCACATACATTTTTGCAATATTTTTTTTTGTGAGTGCGTTTTAAGTCTAACTGCTTGTTTGAGTTATTTTTCTTTCCCTGAAAGTGTCAAGAGTGTAGGGGCAGCGGGTCACGCGAACGCCACGCCGCGCCACGCCACTTACGCTGCTGCCTCGCCGCGGTGGGCGTCGAGTAACGAGCCCAGCTGGCTGTTGATATTATTTGCAGAGGAAGGAAAAAGTGGCCCGAGTAAAACAACAGAAAAAGGGAGAGAAATTAATTATCATTTCGAGATGGGCACCGTTCTGCGGAGTCACGACCATATGATCGCAATGCAACAACTTTAAGTAGTGGACACTGGGCTTATTCTTTGACTGTTACACCTGGTTCAAGAATCAAGTCGGTCCAGACTATAAAGACAAATGTCGACAAATGCATACACAAAAATTTCTTTTACGCGATCATTGTTGTTTGTGCTTCACCTGAGCTCCGGTGACTCAGTAGTACGCGACATCAGAGCAGCAGGCGGCGCCGCGTCGCAAGAAGGGGGAAAAACAACTGCAGCAATTAGGCCTGCTGCATCTTCTCGTGCTCCTCTTCCTTTCCTCATCCTCTTGTCCCTCTGCGCTCTCCGCCTTGCTGTGCAGCGTGGACCACGAATAGAGGAGCCTGCCTGACTGCACTGTAATCATTTGTGTCGTCATCTTACAAAATGGCCTTTTTATTTTAATCTCAAAATCTCTTACATACTTTTATAAATAATTTGGGAAAAACGTTACGAAACTATGCAGTTTTTAGTCGATTTTGACTTGCGATTGTGAAACAATAGGAAGAGCGGGTTTTATTATTAGTCTTAACTTTAAATATCTGCCAGTGCTAATGACAAAATTTATGAATTCGGTGTTAGTCTGGTGCGAGCGCTGGATTCACGAATGACATTTTTAAAACTTTTTTGGTAAATGAAAACTTAGCTTTATGCAGTAGTGTGCTTGGCTCCGCGCGCGCCCGTGGCCTGACCCAGGGACCTTTAATGAGTCGGAATGAGAGCTCTGCCCCGGCGAGGAGGACAGCGGGGAGAGCGGCAGGGGTCACCGCCCCCCACGGTGCATCATCTTGGCGTTCGCACGTGCACCGCCCCGCCACGCCCCGCCCCACCACGCCCCGGCACGCTCTTACCCTGCCAAAGCCCGACGCACACAGCGACGTCTCACTTCATCAATCAGTTGTTGCAGACCTGCCGCTGTGCTGCACTTGTTGAAAGCACCTGCTGCCTTTTCGGCGCGCGATGGCTTTTCGCAGCGAAATATTGGCTGTGTTCCGACTTTTTCAGACCGTCTTGCTTATGGTTTTTGTGTGGTTTTATTACCAACACCATCGCACTCTGCTCCTCTGCTTCATCCATCTCTCTCTATCAACACGGCGGTGCCGAAACAAATTTTTCGACACACTACATCTTTCTCTCTCTCTCGCCCCATTTTTTTTTGCCGCCGCGGCGTGTGTCCCGGCCTAGACCGGTTCGTCTGTATCGACAGGGCCTGGCCTGGCCTGGAGGGCGATCGGAGAGCTCCCTGAGAACGCTCCACTTCCGTCCTCCCACTACCCCCCTCACCCTATTTCAGACGATTTAGAAGGCGTTTCCGGTTGTTTTCAGGGAGCTCTCCGATCGCCCTCCTGGCGGCCCGGCCTGGCCGCGGCACCCACAGGAATGCCTGCCAGGCGGTGGGCTAGCCGCGGCGGGCCCGGGCACGCGCTGCACAAGTGGGCTGCCCGCCCGGGGGCCACGGCGGCCTGCCTGCCTGCCTGCAGGATTCCTGCTGCTGCAAGGTCCTCCTGCAACGGCCTGGAAGCATCCCCCTATGCTGCCGGTGGTGGGCCGCTCTAGCTGCGCCCGGCCAGCAGGCCCGGCCCGGCCTGCCGCCCTGCCCAGCCCCTGGCGCGCGGCCAGGCGCGCCACTCACCCCCGCCGCGACCCCCTCCCGCGCTCTCTCGCTCTCGCTCCGACCCGAGCGAGGGGCGGCGGACGCACTCGCTCGCTCTCCTGGTCGTTGCTCTCTGGCTGGCCGGGCCGGGCCCCCGTCCGGACGGCTGACATTAGAACGCCGCCCCGCCCCGCCCCGCCCCGCCCCGCGAAGCGCCTGCCCTGCATCATGTTAGCGCAGCACCACCTCAGACCCTCAGTGGAGCGAGGTAGGGCAGAAAAAAAATTGAACAAAAAGTACTCTGAACCCCCTGCTGCGGTAACCAACTGCAATACCCCCATTAGATAAATTTACCAGATAAATACACACACTATCGCACTTACTATCGGCGGTGGGGCCGTTCGCATCGTGTGAACTTCGGTGCGTAATACTTCACAGCACACCGCGCCCGCAGTTCCGACCTGGTCCACATGTTCCTGGTTCCTTGTACATCCACACCAATTTGTTCCTTGGACAAGTGTAAGGTTTTACTATTTTTGTCCAGGTTTTGGATCAAATGTGCATCCGTTCTGCATGCGTGCACAGTAAGGTGTTCGTGTAAGCAACACGCAAGTGTTCCTGAACACTAATTAGTGCGTGTTCTGAAAATTTATTGGAAAGGGGGAGGGGGTGAAGGAGACAATCACACCTTCCCGTGTCATAATTGTATTTTTTTTTAAAATGACGGTAGTTGTTTCTCAATTTTTCTTTTGCGGAGTATTTCGGTCGCGGTGTACAGTGTGCGCCGCCAATCGTGCGCGTCCCCCGGGCGCATGGCTCTGGCAAACACGCGAGCAGCAGCAGCGGCGGCGGCGGCGGCTGCAAATTGTGATCTACGGCCTACACAGGGGCGTAAGTGAGTGAGCGACGACTGGGGAGCAAACACCACGACGGCAGAAATAAAGAGAGAACCTCGCGGGAGCTGGCGGCAGTGGCTATCGCCGTGGGAGAACTCTACCTGCTGCTGTATCTCTCTCTCTCTCTCTCTCTCTCTCTCTCTCTCTCTCTCTCTCTCTCTCTCTCTCTCTCTCTGCGCTATGTTTGCCGAGCTCGGGCTGTGTATTGGTTCTTGTTGGTTTTTGACACTCGTGGGACCTTGTGGCTACAGCGGCAGCGCCCCGCACAGCCCCTCTGGAGCCGCGGCCACCGCACCGCCACACAAGATCGTGGCCGCCCAATAAACTCAAAGTCGCCCTTTTCTTTCTTCGCCTCTCTCTTCTATTTCTCGATCTCTACCGAATAGAGGTGCTCGGCTCGGTCCTCCCGTCCCGTTCGCTCTCCTCCTTGACCAGTGTGGCCACCGCGTCGCTTCGCGCTCAGGTGTCGAATTTATTATTCGTGCCCATATGCGCGTGAGTGAGACAGAGACAGAGAAGGAGAAAAAACAAGGGGCCTATGAAATGTGACTGATCCAGAAATGCGTGTATCAGGTGACCGCGCGCGAGCAACAAGTTATGGAGTGGTAGATTCTCGTAGGTTTCTTCAGAGATGTGTTCTCTGCCACGGTGGGCTTCTGGTTTGATCGCGCAGCTGGATAGAGAAAAGTTACAACCTGTGCGTAAGCTATGCAAAACTAGCGAAAATTTCCATGCTGACATAAATATTTGGTGCGGCTATTCATGAAAACTTTGACTTAAAGAAAGGGTTAATCAAAGGTCAGCAGTGACCACTCTTGACCACTCCTGATACTCCACCCCTCCCCTTTTCCCCTCCCTTTCCCCATGGCCCCAGTCTCTATACCTCGCGAGCAAAGCTCTGGTCGTTTTCCGGCTCATTTTGCGTGTTAATGAATTGCCCCATCAGGAAGCCTCTCTGACTCGCGCTTGGCTCTGCCTCTCGTATTGCGAAGGGAGGAGGAGTAAAAGGTGGAAGGGGGCGCGCCCCCTCGCACAGCGACCCAGCCCACCCAGAGCACGAGCGAGCCTCTATTGGTCGGGGCCTAAATCTGTAATTGCGACAATTACTTCCCGCTGCAGTGCACTGAACATTCTGTGGAGTGTGTGTGTGCGCGCGCGCGTGTGCGAAGGAAGAGAGAAAGAATGTAGCAGACAGAGACACAGAGAACTTTGATGGCCCCTCATCCACAACACCTTTCCCCCCGTTTTATCTTCATTCAATTCTCGGAACGTCCACACTACGACCGCCCCTGATGGGTGCGGAGCAAGCGGGGTCCCTTTGCTTCCTCGAAAAAGTAATATCGCTTTTTTTACTGCCTATAAATTCCTCCTCCTACCACCAAACCATTCGATCCGATATAAACATCCCCCTCCTCGCCCCCTCGATGTCGCCCGGCGCTTTTGTTTTTATCCGGTTCGGAATTCCCTTGCTGACTCTCATCTCCATGACGTCCGTTATCGTTGCTACAATCGCACCAGTTTCTGCCCGCTGCAGTCAGCGCTCCGTTACAGTGTGTATGTGTGTGTGTGTGTCCGCGAATGGGACTGATCGCTTTGGCAGAAGCGGGCGGTCCACCGAAGCGCTGTGATTGGTCGAGTGGATCGCCAGCGCCGCGCCGCCCGGAGCCCCAAAGGGCCTCGGAGACCGCAGAGCAGAGCCTTTATGGCGCCCTCCAAGCGCGTCCGTTTGATGATTGTCCCCGACGGGACCTGTAATGAGGGTCAGGGCGCCGTGTTGACGGAGCAAACGAGGCGACAGAGGCCCAGAAAGAGAGAGACAGAGAGACAGAGAGAGAGACAGAGCAGAGAGAAGAGTGTTGGTCTCCCCGATACAGGCGTGTATTATATGGACGTTGTCGTGTCGTGGTGTTGACCGCCGACCTTCGGAAAAGTAGAGGACAGCAGCTAGGTCACTCGGTGTGTGTGTGTATGTGTGCGCGTGCGCGCGAGTGCGAGTTTGTCTGTGTGTGTGTGTCGGTGTGAGCGCACGCGCGCCTTCATGGAAATCATTTGCCGGTTTTCTGCACACTACCCACTACCCCCCCC